TTTTACTCTGAATTGTTTTTCTTTTGTCTGCGTAAGTGTGTGCATGAGAGAGAGAGAAGCCATCAGAGTCTGCTTAGGCATTTTCTACAGTTTTGATATGCTGAGCTCAAAAGGTTCACCTTCACTGTTCTAGGCCAGGGATCTTCAACCTTGGTGACTTTATGACTTGTGCTGTGCTGGCTGAGGAATTCTAAGAGTTGGAAGTCCACAAGTCATAAAGTCACCAAGGTTGAAGATCCCTGGCCTAGAACAGTGAAGGTGAACCTTTTGAGCTCAGCATATCAAAACTGTAGAAAATGCCTAAGCAGACTCTGATGGCTTCTCTCTCTCTCATGCACACACTTACGCAGACAAAAGAAAAACAATTCAGAGTAAAAAAATAATAAATTTAATATTTAATTAATAAATACTTGCATCATTATAAATATATTTTTGAAATGCCTGTCTGAGGCAGCTCCAGGCCTGGAAACATCAGAGAATGCTCTTGCAGCCTCTGAAAAGAGCAGGAAAGAGGTCTTGTGCTCTTTTTGGAGGCTCCAGAGGCCACACGAAAGCAGGCCCTCTTGCACAACTACCAGAGGCTTGGTGTGTCACCAGAAATAACATATCACCTACATTACTGGCCTGGACTAACAGCAAGGCCTGCAGAATTGACTAGTAAGAATTGCTCCTCACTGTTAGTTATTTAGCCATTCAGTAATCACTCTACATAGTGAGATGGGTGGCATATAAGTTTATTAATTAAATAATTGTTCCACTTCCAAGTGGACCTCACAATTAAAAAAGAAAGCTTAAAGGCTCTGGATACATTTAGTCGACAGAAGAGACAACTGAAGGACAATATAATAATGTTTAAAGGGAGCTAATGGCTGACAGATAGAAGAAAGAATGAAGGCAGGATCAGAACCAATGGGATAGAAATACAACAAAAAAGATTCAGATATCAAAAGGAACCCACCTGCTGTTAGGTTTATGACAATTCGCCATGGCTAACTCGCCACAGCCGACTTGGAATGGCCAACTCACTGCAGTACAAATCGCCATGGCCATCTCTCCACAGGACAACTTGCTGCAGGACAAGAGTTACACTAATATCAAAGAATTGGTGGAATAGAATCATTAAAGAAAGGATGCAAAAGGAGGGCGAATCAAATGTGATGGCAAAAATTAAAATAATATTTATTTTAAATAATTAAATAAAATTGGTAAATTGTCCCACGGCAAGTTTTCCTATGACGAGTTGGCTATGGCAAGTTGTCCCGCAGCGAGTTGGCCATGATGAGTTGGCCATAGCAAGTTGGTTGTGCCAAATTATCCCATTCCCTCTGCTGTTAGCCATTGCAGTAGGCTGCTAAATGAAATGATGAGGTCTGTAACCAGAGGCTGGACGGTCATCTGTTGGATATATATTTTTTAAATCCTTGCATAAGTGAGCATTTGGCTCATGTTATTGTAGAATATTGCTATGTTATTTGAGATGTGTCTGATTTCCTACTTATTCATAGAAAAGAAATATTTGCAAACTCAGGCATCCTAGACCTAGACCCACAAAAATTAAGGAGGCCAAAGGACTTCTCATTCACTGAGAAACCGACTTATTGCACCTACAGTGGATTTCTTGTATTAAGAGCAAAGAGATCTATTTCTCTATGTATCCTTGTCATTACCTTTGCAAAAGAAAAGAGGAAAGGTAAAGCCTCTGGAGTAATATGATCATAACAAACAATAGCTTGAGTCTACTTCGGCTGGAGAAGTTTATT